ACCCATTAAGAAAAACCACGGGCAGAGTGAGTCCGTGGCCGTGGGACTCGGCGGGCACCAGGAGCGACCCCAGAAGCGAAGAAGGAACCCCGTAAGGGGCTCCGGAAACGTGGAAGGGGAGCGGTGCTGTGAGTTCATCGCTCTTTCTGCGGGAGCGAAGCCGCGCAGCTGCTGCTGATGAGCGCCGACCTTTCTTCTTGGAACATCAGGCACTAAACTACCTACTCGTGAGTAAGGATCAATCATTTTGGAACCAAAAGGGTTAAATTTGGCTGAAAGCGGGAGACGATAAACAGGAAGTCCGTCTTCCGGCAGTGCTTTAAAGATCAAAGGCAAAGATTTTAACAAGCGGGAAGCAGCTTTAAAAGATTTTAAATTTGGGACTATCGTGTTGACAGAATTGGCTTTTAAAAAGAAGGAGAAGGGACTTTTATTTCAAAGTGTTTTGGATTTCAAATGGGACTTTCCTCCCCTTTACGGATTATAAAGAATTAAGAACCAAACCTCGGACTGACAGGAGAAAAAGAGAGCTGTCATTGCGGAAACTGTATTCAAAATAGAGACTGTTACAGTTGAGTGATACTGGCAAGATACAATTAAATAAACTGTTATTGGCACCTTTTATTTGAGACTTTGTAGCAGCTTGGGAAGTGCTCTGCAAGCCAAAAAAGTTTATGAAGGACTTTTGGTAAAGTAGACTGTTTTGGGGCTGCAGGGACTTTAATGGCGGATAAATTTCTTTCCTTTCTATGAACTACAGTAATACTCCCCCTAGTGGAGTTCTGGAATTACAAGTGCCTGGGAACAAATTTTATTTGGACTATCTGCTGCTTTGTTATTTACACTTTGGAACTGTCCTTCCCATGGGACAATATATAATTTGACCTTGACTCATAGACAGGTGTGGAATGAGTGGCCAACCGAAAACAAGATCTGCTAAAACGAAAGCAAGACAAGCCCAACTTGTGCAAACAACTTTGACTACTCAGTCACGTAGATCATCTGTCCCAGCTGTTTTGGGAGTACAAGAAAAGGAAACTGCACGGCCTGCATCAGAGGATATGGCGGTGGGAGGATCGGATACCTTCTTAAAACAAATGCTAGAACAATTTGCAATATTGAACAAGAAGGTGGATGACCAATCGGCAAAAATAGACCAAGCCACATCCTCTATTACTAAATTATCTGACCAAGTTGCACAACATACACAAGTTATTGGGAATCTCAAGGAAGCAACTGTGGAAAATCGGAGACTGGCTGAAGCAGCCAATGAAAAAGCAGAACAAGCAAATCAAAAAGCTGAGGCTATAAAAGAAGAGGTAAGGCCACTACACAAGCACGTTAGCGACCAGCAGGCCTACCTGTCTATGGTGGAATTGAGAAACCGGGAAAATAACCTGAGATTAAGAGCTATCCCAGAGCTTGAACAGGAAGATTTAATTGGTTATCTGACAGCAGAATTTTCTAAGTTCTGGGGTATAGAAGAAGACAAAGATTTTAAGATTACAACTGCGTTCAGATTAGGAAGAGTCGTGAGGAGGGACAAGCCCAGAGACTGTTTGATTATTTTGAGATCCAAGCAGGAGAGAGATAAAATACTAGGCCTCCACTTTAAGAAATCACTTGACATCCAAGGCAAAAGAGCAGAACTTTATAGAGATATTCCTAAACAACTTTTGGATCTCAGAGCTACATATACAGACTTAGCAAGACTACTGAGAGGAAACGCGATTCCATATAGGTGGGAGTTTCCCAAGGTTTATCTTTTAATTTTAAAGGAAAGAAAATTAAGATTAAAACATCAGAAGATAACCAGAAGTTCCTGCACGATCATGGAGAAGACCTTCAGAAGGGAGCAGCAGTCTCCTGGCCACCGCCACTGCCGGGAATAGCACCGATACCTACACCCTCGGGGTCAGAAGAAAAGGAAGACACCCCACTATAGGAACAACAGATTGATTCAGAATGTCTCTGCAGCTGTACAGTTGGAATATAAATGGCGGGAATTCCCCGGAAAAAAGACGAAGGATTTTTCATATTTTGAAAAAAGAACAATTGGATATTGTTTGCTTGCAGGAAACGCATGTGACTAGGCTCCATAGGAAAGTGTTAATCAATAAAAGACTAGGCCAAGAATTTATTTCATCAGACAAAGTCAAGAAAAGAGGCGTAGTGATTTATGCAAAGGAGAACCTGTCACCGAAACTTCTGTTTAAAGATGAGCAAGGAAGAATTTTGGCAATTGAGATACAAACACAAGGAGAAAAGTTTTTGATTTTAGGAATATATGCACCAAATGAGGGGAAATCGGAATTTTACAAGAAGCTGCATGAGATAATGCTGGACTATCTGGACTATACTAACATCATAATGATGGGTGATATGAATGGGGTGGTTTCTACTCACATGGATAAGTCACAAAATCAAAATTTAACTAAAGACGGCAGACTACCTAAAACCTTCTTTGAACTAACTGACAACATGGACTTGATTGATATTTGGAGGACAAGGAACCCCTTAGGTAAAGAAGGAACATTCTTTTCTGAGGCCCACCTATCATGGACAAGAATCGACCAAATATGGACAACTAGAGGACTGGCACCTAAGATCAGAAAAGTGGAAATCTGTCCAAAGACTTGCTCCGACCATAATGCTTTGAAAGTGGAATTGAGACTTACTCCAACCGGTTCTTTCAGATGGAAAATGAATGACACCCTACTAAGAGATCAGGAGATTGTGAAGAAGGCCCAAAAACTTTAAAGGACTATTTTGAAATCAATTTGAACACTTCGGTGGAAAAGAGAACAATTTGGGATGCAAGTAAAGCTGTAATGAGGGGGTTTCTGATACAACAGAACACAATCAAGAAAAAACTTTGGAATGGAAAAAAGACAGGATATTAGAGAAGATAAGAGAAGGAGAGAAAAATTGAGACTAAAACCAAAATCAAAAGAGGTTTTAAGAGAAATCAAATTCCACCAAGCTCAATATGCGAAATTGATAAATCAAGAAGTGGAATGGAAAATTAAACAAATGAAACAAAGATCATTTGAATCGGCAAATAAATGTGGAAAACTGCTAGCATGGCAGTTGAAAAAGAGACAAAAATTGAACTTTGTCACTAATCTAGAGGTGGAAGGGAGAAACATTCAGAAACCAGAAGAAATTAGAAAGTGTTTTCAGAAATATTTCAAAAACTTTATACACAAGGGCCTCAGGAAATGTCTGAGATAGATCAATTTTTAAAAGTTAACGGTTTATCAAAACTATCTCAGGAGAAGAGGACAATCTTAAATAATAGATTAACACAACAGGAAATAGAGGGTGCCATTCAGAATATGCAACTAGGCAAATCTCCAGGCCCAGATGGACTTACCTCCAAGTATTATAAGACACTAAAAGACTATTTGATACAACCACTAATGGAGGTCTGTAACCAGATTATGGAGGGGAGGAGGGCACCGGAAACGTGGAAAGAAGCTTTCATCACATTGATTCCTAAATTGGAATCTGAAAAGACTCAGCTTAAGAACTACCGTCCCATCTCACTCCTAAATGTGGATTACAAAATTTTTGCTGATATTTTGGCGAGCAGACTTAAAAAATACTTAATGAAGTAATACATAAGGACCAGGCAGGCTTTCTCCCAGGGAGACATCTCTTTGATAATACTAGGAACATTATTGATATTTTGGAACTTTTACAAACTAATATCAATACGAAAGCTGTTTTAATTTTCATCGATGCGGAGAAGGCCTTTGATAATATTTCTTGGATGTTTATGAAGAGAAATTTGGAAGGGATGGGAGTGGGACGGGGGTTTGAAAATGGAATAGAAGCAATTTATTCTGAGCAAAAAGCTAAACTGATAGTGAACAATGTGGTGACAGATGAGTTCAAAATTGAAAAAGGGACACGACAAGGGTGCCCCTATCCCCTCTTTTATTTATTTCAGTCCTGGAGGTGTTATTGAACATGATTAGGAAGGACCGGTTGATACAAGGAATACAGGTCGGAGCGAAACAATATAAATTGAAAGCTTTTGCAGATGATTTGGTTTTAACATTACAGGAGCCAGAATCTAGTACAAAAAGAGTATTAGAACTGATTCATGAATTTGGTCGGGTGGCGGGATTTAAGTTGAATAAGCAAAAACTAAGGTTTTGGGGAAAAACTTGACACCTTCAGAAATAGATGGGTTTCAGAAGGAAACAGAACTAAGTGTGGTAAAAAAGTGAAATACCTAGGGGTTCACCTGTCAGCGAAAAATTTGAATTTATTTAAAGACAACTATGAAAAATGTTGGCTGGAAATCAAAAAAGATTTGGAAATCTGGTCAAGATTGAAACTTTCCTTGTTGGGTCGAATTGCAGCTATAAAAATGAATGTATTGCCGAAAATGTTATTTTTGTTCCAAACCCTACAGATTGTGGACAGAGTGGAATGTTTTGGAAAGTGGCAGAAGGATATATCCAAGTTTGTTTGGCAGGGCAAAAAGCCCCGGATAAAGTTTAAAATACTAACTGATTCGAAAGAAAGAGGGGGGTTTGCCCTGCCGGACCTGAGATTATATTATGAAGCTGCGGCCTTCTGCTGGATGAAAGATTGGTTACTTCTTGAGAACACTGATGTCCTAGATCTGGAAGGGTTCGATAACGCTTTTGGTTGGCATGCATATTTGTGGTACGACAAGGTAAAGGTTCATAAAATGTTCAAAAATCATATTGTTAGAAAATCAATATTTATGGTCTGGACAAAATACAAGGACTTATTAGAAGGTAAGACTCCGAGGTGGCTCTCACCAGCAGAGGCCAAGGCCCGGAAAAACCTAATATGGAGGTTGGTTGGCCGAAATATGGGGAAATTATAGAAAAAGTAGGAGAAACTTGGAGGCTGCAGAGTTATGAAAAATTAAAGAATAAGGTGCAAAATTGGCTTCACTATGCTCAAATTCAAGAGGTTTTTAAGTTGGACAAAAGAACAGGCTTCCAGGTGGAAAAATCGAAACTAGAGACAGAATTGTTGGAACCAAAAACCAAGGTACTTTCGAGAATGTATACCTTGCTGCTTAAATGGAACACTCAGGATGAGACAGTCAAATCAGCCATGATAAAATGGGCTCAGGACATTGGGTACAACATTATGTTTGAAGACTGGGAAAGGTTATGGACCACTGGTATGAAATTCACGGCATGTAATGCCTTGAAAGAGAATATTATGAAAATGATATACAGGTGGTACATGACCCCAGTCAAGCTTGCTAAGATATATCATTTGTCTGATAATAAATGTTGGAAATGTAAGGAGGCTGAAGGGACATTCTTTCACCTCTGGTGGACTTGCCCAAAAGTGAAGGCCTTCTGGGAAAGGATCTATAATGAGTTAAAAAGGTGTTTAAGTACACCTTTCCCAAGAAACCAGAGGCCTTCCTACTGGGCATTGTCGGCCAGAAGGTGTTAAAGAAGGATAGAACCTTTTTATGTATGCAACTACAGCAGCAAGAATTCTTATCGCAAAATACTGGAAGACTCAAGATTTACCCACACTGGAAGAGTGGCAGACGCAATTGATGGGCTACATGGAATTGGCCGAGATGACTGCCAGGATCCGAGATTTGGGAGAAGAAGCAATGGAGGAGGATTGGAAAAAATTTAAAGATTATTTACAAAGATTTTATAAGTTATATGAATGTTAAGAATTCGCATGATTAGGGAAATTCAGCTCCAGCAATAAGATTAAGGTATGGGAAACTAAGCTATATTAATGAAAGGACTAATGTTTAAAAGAACATTATATATGTTATTAGTGTAAATTGACAATAAGCATTTTAAACGTAAACCATAAGTATTTGAAAGAACAAAAGAATGCACAAAATAAGGTTATAATTTGCTGAAAAATTTTATTGTAAAGAACGCAAGGTGAGGGAGACGTGGGGAAGTCCGGTTGGTTATAGAAAAATGCTTTGGAAAGATGATTTTTTTCTTTTTCTTTTTCTTTTCTGTTATTTCTTTGTATATCCGACTTTGTATTTCTATGTGGAAAAAATGCAATAAAAATATTTAAAAAAAAAAAAACAAAGTGCTGGTATTGACCTTTAAAGCTCTTTGCAGCATAGGGGAATAATGTCTTAATGAGTACCTTCTCACACACATAACCCCACATCCTGCTGGATTATCCAAGAAGACCCTGCTTAGGAAGGATCCCCCTTCAGAAGGGACTTGAGTGACCACAAAGCAAAAGGCCTTCTTAGGGGCTGCCTAACTGGCTTCCTCTGGAGACCTGCCAAGTTCATTTTCTACAACATTTCATGAAGATGGTTCATGCATGGCTTTTCAGGCAGGACTTCCCTTTCCAGTGTACTATTTAAGTGTCCCAGATAACTCGTGGTACTTAACTGATAGGGTGTGATTTGTGTATTGATTGGGTTTAGGGTATAATGTTTATTTTATGCAAACTGTGTTGATTGCTATAGAGCACAATTTATAAATTAATTAAACAATACCAAAAAATAGATCATGCCATTAGTATTTTTTTAACAATTCCTTTTATTAAATAATCCATATTCTGCTGTTAATTCAAGCATGGTCAGCAGATGGAGGTTTGTTTTTGCTTGTTCCAAAAATCAAACAAACAAAAATGGTTTCCTGCTTGGCAGGGGGTTGGAATCGATGGCCCTTGTGGTCTCTTCCAACTCTATGATTCTATGATTCTATGATTGGTTTAACTCATAAAATACACCACTTTTATGAAACAGCTAGTGCATAGGCTGAAAATTTACACTTTTCAGACTATAGGCATGACCTCATTGCCCTTCCAGTGTCATAGCTGTGAGTCAAGAAGATAAATTCTGTATTCTTTGTGCAAAGGGCCATTCTATATATAAGGGAGCATCATAGTTTTCTGTGGAAGTTATTATGTAAAACCATCACACTTATTCATCTCCAAACAGAATGTCCTTTAGGATGCCTGGTCAGCTTTATTACCACAGTTATTTTGAGAGCTTTTTGGCAGCCTTGAAGTTCACCATGTGGCATGAATACATATCAGAAAGCTACATTCTGGGAATGTCTGAGAAAATTTGTTGAGCAAAATTATAAACGTTCTAAAATGTTCTATAAAAACATATTTTGAATACAGGCAATACTACAGAGTAATTTAGTTAGAGGCTTAACCAAACTGTATCTTTGGGTCCTTAAGGACTGCAGACTTCCATCTACGTAATTTAGTGCTTGAGCTTCTGAAAAGGGATGGATTACTCAAGGTGATTGAGCGAGCGGTTGCTGAACAACTCCAGGCACGCCTGGAAGAAGCGGACCATTTGGATCCCTTCCAGTCGGGATTCAGGCCTCATCATGGGACTGAAACTGCCTTGGTCGCACTGGTTGATGATCTCCGGCGGGGTAGGGACAAAGGTGAGAGCTGTTTCCTAGTTCTGCTGGATCTCTCAGCGGCGTTTGATACCATCGACCATAACATCCTTCTGGACCGTCTTGAGGGGCTGGGAGCTGGGGGCACTGTCATACAGTGGTTCCGCTCCTTCCTCCTGGGCCGTGTTCAGAAAGTGGTGGTGGGGATAAGTGTTCAGACCCCTGGGCTCTCACTTGTGGGGTGCCTCAGGGTTCTGTCCTCTCCCTCATGCTTTTCAACATTTACATGCAGCTGCTGGGAGAGATCATCAGGAGGTTTGGGCTGGGTGTTCATCAGTATGCGGATGATACCCAGCTCTACCTCTCTTTTAAATCAGAACCAGTGAAGGCGGTGAAGGTCCTGTGTGAGTGTCTGGAGGCGGTTGGAGGATGGATGGCGGCTAACAGATTGAGGTTGAATCCTGACAAGACAGAAGTACTGTTTTGGGGGACAGGAGGCGGGCAGGTGTGGAGGATTCCCTGGTCCTGAATGGGGTAACTGTGCCCCTGAAGGACCAGGTGCGCAGCCTGGGAGTCATTTTGGACTCACAGCTGTCCATGGAGGCACAGGTCAAATCTGTGTCCAGGGCAGCTGTTTACCAGCTCCATCTGGTACGTAGGCTGAGACCCTATCTGCCTGCGGACTGTCTCTCCAGAGTGGTGCATGCTCTGGTTATCTCCCGCTTGGACTACTGCAATGCACTCTACGTGGGGCTACCTTTGAAGGTGACCCGGAAACTACAACTAATCCAGAATGCGGCAGCTAGACTGGTGACTGGGGGCGGCCGCCGAGACCATATAACACCGGTCTTGAAAGACCTACATTGGCTCCCAGTACATTTCCGAGCACAATTCAAAGTGTTGGTGCTGACCTTTAAAGCCCTAAATGGCCTCGGTCCAGTATACCTGAAGGAGCGTCTCCACCCCCATCGTTATGCCCGGACACTGAGGTCCAGTGCCGAGGGCCTTCTGGCGGTTCCCTCATTGCGAGAAGCAAAGCTACAGGGAACCAGGCAGAGGGCCTTCTCAGTAGTGGCGCCCGCCCTGTGGAACGCCCTTCCAGCAGATGTCAAAGCGATAAACAACTACCTGACATTCAGAAGACATCTTAAGGCAGCACTGTTCAGGGAAGTTTTTAACGTGTGATATTTTACTGTATTTTTGGTTTCTATGGAAGCCGCCCAGAGTGGCTGGGGAGGCCCAGCCAGATGGGCGGGGTATAAATAAACTATTATTATTATTATTATTATTATTATTATTATTATTATTATCTGCTAAAAGGAATCTGCACAACGGATTCCCCAGTTTAATTGGGAGGTCCTTTGTGGTGAGAACACTTCTCCAACATCCTTAGGCTTGTTATCTCGTTTGGGAGGACTCTGCCAAAGTTCCAGCTCCTGCTCCCTGAGGGGTGCCATGACCCCACCTGCCTGCACCTGGCCATCTTGGCCACCTTTTGTAAATATATGCAAACCTTTCCTGGGTTGGGCCTGATTCTGACACACTTAACCACCTCCTTCATGATCCCAGAACCAATTATTTGGAGCCTGGCCCTTGTCAACGCCCAGCAGTATGAGGTCCCACCTGCCTGCTTCCATCTGTAACATGGGAATAACAGTGACCCACTTTCCAGGGTTTAAGTCTGGCTGTGACCAGTGAAGATGATAAATTAATGCACAAATTAAGTGAGATGTTCATAAATGTAAAATAAACACTAATGTGTTAATAGGCTAGTAAAAGTATCCGAGAGGAGATCAGTGTAAATGAAAACATGAGACTTATGGTTTTGTTACATATGATTTTATTTTAGAGTTGTCTGCTTATTTTGGAGTTGTTTGCTGTAAAGAATGTATATTATGTGACTAAAATAATAATGGATTGGGGGGGAGGGGGGAAAAAAGCTAGCGTTGTGTGCTAGCATCTGGTGCGGTAGACCAGGGCCCCCAACCTGTCTGGACATGGAGACATATTAGGAAATCAAAGAAACTGTTGTGGGCAGAAAAAGGACATTCATTTTACACATGAAAAATCATGATGCTCAGAACACCCACTCTATATGAAAAAAAGCCATGCAAAACACATATCCCCTCCAAAAAAACTCCCAAAAAACCAAAACACCTCCAAAATAATTCAATTTTAAATTTTATTTTATTTTTTAAATGTGAGGGACAGGCCGGGGGCTTCGTTGGGCACCAAGTGAGTGGAGAGTATGAGAACACTGTGGCTGTCACATACCCCATGCCGAAGATCCCGGCGTAGCTAGGGGGTGCGCCCCCGGGCAAGTTCCTGCAAGGAAGAGAGAGTTGTGAGCGAGGGCGAGAGAAGGAACCACGGAGACAGAGCGGGGGGGTCTGAGCCGGGAGGGGATGCAGGACAGCTGCCGCTTTCCTGACTGGCTCTGGGACGCTTTGGGACCCCTTGTGTGCTTCATGGAGCCAAGGGGGATCGAGGCGAGCTCGAGAAAGAAGGTGTCGGAAATTGTGACGCCGCAGCAGAGCATCCCCACTGCTCGGCGCCCTGTGAAGATGCCCAGGGGAGCGAGTAAGAGACAGAGCGCGCGCATCTGGGGGTTGGGGGGTCTCGCAGCTAGACACCCTAGAGGTGGGGGCGAGGAAGTCTCTCTCTCTCTCTCTCTCTCTCTCTCTCTCTCTCTCTCTCTCTCTCTCTCTCTCTGACTTGACCAAGCTTTGGGACGTTTTCAACGTGGACTTACCACCACCTTTTCTGGGCAAGGTTTTCTTTTCCTTCGCTTCCTTTCCCTTCCTTTCCCTGACAGCAGTGAATTTTTTTTAAAAAAGAGGAGTTTAGTTTGGCTGGCTGGCTTGCCGCCCTTCTCTCTATGCTGACACAGAGCCTATTAACAAAAGTAAGTGGAACAGCAGTGGTCTCATCAGCAAGAGAGTTGTATTTACTGTCCTGCATCCGCAAGATGATGGAACAAAACTCATATTGTGTTTTCTGC